GCTTGGTATGCTATAGCGAGGGTGTGCTGCGATAACAGCCGATCCGAATTACCTTTGTTAAGTCTTTGCCTTTGCTCGCAGGACTCCTTAAGCCACCTTACTGCTTCTTGGATCCTGCCGTCTACCCGCAGACATTGTCCCACTAAGAGACACAACTTGGACCTCTCATCAACCTCGCAGCCTTGCTTATCCTCGAGTAGCCGTAGCGCATGCGGTAGATAGGCCCTCCATACTGCCCGATTTGCATAGTCGTTTGATGGGAAAACGCCGGCTACATTCCTAATGGCTTTCTCAGCCACCCCTCTCGTGTCGCCGTACTGCCTGACCCAGATTCGAGTCGCTAGGTGCACCAGTCGGTGGACATCATACTCCTCTTCGTCCCTCTGTCGTACTAGGAAGGAGTACCCACAGAGCGTGCCGATCGCCTCCTCCATCTGCACTTCCGATTGTACGCTTGGTAGGATAGAGTGTGGAATAGCTTTCCACTCAATGCAAGATATAAACAGCAGAAGGCCTACCGCGACCGCATCGCGTGCGCGGATGTGGTTAAATGATACCACCCACGTTGTGGCCACTGCGTTCGCCGAGCTGTTATATCGCGTATCGTCGCGGAACTCCCTGCTCATGAGATCGATGAGGTCCTGCTCCGTGCTCCGGAGCAGGTGCAAGTACTTGGTAATAGACATGCTGGTTTTGTTTAGGTAGGCGGCTGCCTGTGCGATCGCTAGAGGTAGACATGTCAGCTCATCGAGCAGTGTGTCCCTACTTGCGCTGTTGCGGAGGAGGTCCTTCCTAATTAGCGACTTCCCTAGGAAGTCGCCCGCGTCTTGTTGATTCATCGGCCCGATCTTTAGCACATCGCCGCGTGTTAGCGAGACTGCTACCTCTAGTGTGCGTGTGGTGAACAAAACCACACCCTCCTCGCTCTGTGGCAGGTAGTTAATAACGCCCTTCGCCTGTCCTGTCCCAAAGAGGATGTCTGTATCGTCGGCGTTGTCGACTACTAATAGCCACCTCCCTGCCCACGCCGTGCTTAGATGCCGTTTGAACTGCTCTTTTATATCATCCTCGCCATTAGCCGCCTGAGGGATGCCCAACAGTCTTGCAGCTTCTGCGCACGCCTGCTCGAAGCTCTCCATACTTAGTGCAGGCACCCAGAAGATGGAGAACTCGGGCCAGCTCTCCTTCACCATGTACGCAAACTGCAGCGCAACCTGCGTCTTGCCCGTCCCCCCGAGCCCAACAATTGACATCTTGTAGCACGCTCTGTCTACTATAAGCCTCTGCTTTAGCATATCAAGTTCAGCCTTCCTCCCGACAAAGGACCGGTTTAGAAGGAATGGAATAGAGTGGATCACCCTTTCTATTGCACCATTAGCCATGCTGCAATATATAGAAGATAGCAGCTACACTAACTACTTGCGCTCTGAATGGCCTCTTCGGCCGTGCGAGTCTTTGCTACATCGGCTGGCGGGATCACCAACAGCACTTCCTTCGCATACGCCGCCGCGATCCCCGCCGAGTACAATTGCCACCTCTTGTTCTTGTGCGAGTCTGCGTAGTCGCAGATGCCGCGGATGACCAGGCACGGGAAGTTGTTCATCAGACCTGCCGCCTCCATCTCGAAGCAGAGCACGCCGCCGAGCTCCGCGCTGACCCTGTCTCTTTCCGCCGCATTTTTCATGACCTGATTTCCTGACGCGATCGTCCCGTAGTGAACTATCACCCCTTGACTATTGCGAGGCTGCCGACCTTCTTGCCTGTCTGTACTGCACTCATCGCAGGTTTGCCCTTCCTTGTGGTCGTAGTCTCCCTTGAACAGGATGTCAGGCCCAGCCGCCTCGTGCTGAAAGTCGGGCATATGGCTGAATCTTTGCAGGTACTCAGATACCTTGCTTCTGTTTCGGAGTTTGTTCGCTTGCACCTTTGCAACCGCGCTGAGCAGTATCTGCGGAGGGGCGTTGAGCGATCCTGTCCTCTTAAACCCGCTTGGCGTCGCCTTGCCAGAGTCGTACTGGACCACTCCGCCGAAGGTCTTGTCTGGCTGGCTGACCACCACGTCCCCGAGTCGAATGTCCACCGCTGCGCTGGGCACTCCTCCGCCGATGCCGACCATTAGCCCAAATCGGATTCCCTTGAACGTCGTCTTCATCTGCGTCGCCACGACTGCCGCAGGGTTGTTGCCAATGCGTCCCGCCGGTAGACATACAATCGCGATATTGTGTCCCGCAATTGATCCCAAAGAGTATAGATTCTCGTCGTTGTCGTTGACGTCGCGCTCAATATCTTCATGCTCTTCGTCCAGCATCTCCTGCGCCGCCGCCAGCTCGGCTGGGAGCGCGCACACCCATCCTACCGTGTATTCCTCGCGGGGTGGCCGGGGCATTTGGAGTTGTCACGATAGGAGGTGATGAGCAGAGGGGTAGCGGAGAGTCTCGTGCGGAGTTTGGGATGAAGGTGATGGTCGGGAAGCACTGGCTCTTCGGCGCAGGCAGACATGTTGCTACTCAGCCTCATGGCGCACTCTGGCGGGCTGCTCCTGAACAAGCTGAACTGTCGATATCCGGCGACAGCTGTAAGCGCTAGCGTGGGGCGGGATCGACCCTCGCGGCCCACCATTGACCTAATGCATAAGTGGAGGCACCCTGGTATTTGACCTTGCGCCAGTACCTGGCTGGCTCGGTCCATATCGTGGTGATGGAGGCGCGAATGGGTGGCACGAGAGACAGGTGGCAACATCGCGCCCGGCTGCCAAAAATAGCCTGCACGTGACCGCTTGTAGATGCTTTCACAAGAGCGCTGCATTTTAGGCAAGCGTAATATACAATACAACTAGTGTGATATATATTACCGCGCTAAACCGTTATGCTAAAACCTGCTGCAGACCCCTTTACCCGCATAAATCCGGAATGTATATTTTTAAGGGTCCAGTCCCCTTAAAGCGCAAACGTATCTTCTTTCATCATAGAACTATCAAATTAGTGCTCCGAAATTTAATATTTTAAAGATAGTCGTGGTGCAGCAGGGATGCAAAGCTAATGCAATTCTGGATGCTCTAAAAGGAACAATCGACAGCAGATTAAAAGCGTTGTATTTTTTTGGCTGCATACTAGTTTCCTAGGCAGAAATAGCTGAAGAATTACAATGCACTAACTATAACTCGATAGAATCGCGAGGGAGAGAGCTAGGATGCCTAAACAATGGATTTGTTCCGGCACAGGGGGTTTTCCGCCACGCAGGGGGGGACGTTAGTCAGTTAAGCTTGCTTCAAATGTCTATCTAACGTTACTATCTACATATTCAGTCCAGCTGAATATCTACCCGCTACCATAACCCTAATCTATTCATTGTAAGTATGGCACTAGACGTTAGGTTTTAGAGTTAAAATTACTCTTTTCTTTACTTAGTTACCCCTTTGCGAGGATCCTTTGCCTGATTTCCTTGGTTTGGGCCTCCGTGGGTGGTTTTCTGCAGAATAATATCCGCTCTCAGAGCGCGTTCCGCGCGACTTACTCGTACGTTCTTGTCGCTTAGATGAGCTCGATGCATGTTGCTGGCGCGGTGCTGAGCCAGATGCGCGATCATTTCTGGACGATCCTGTGCCGGAACGCTCTTCGGGCCGTCTCGACTTTGATCTGCGGTCCTCATCGCTCGACTCGTCATACTGGGGAGTTGATCGATATGATGCGCTAGGGCGCCGCGACGAACCTGTGCCGGAACGTTCGTTCGACCGCCTGGACTTTGACCTGCGATCATCGTCGCTAGAATTTCCAAAGCGAGCTGATTTGGGAGATGCGCGAGGGCGCCGCGGCGAACCACGTTCCCGACTATCTTCATATTGATTGGATCGTGGAGTCGACCGTCGATGCGACGAGCTAGGGCGCCCCTGGTGCGATCTTGCACTTGATGTGCGATCCCGCGCGCCGTCGCTCCGCAACTCTTCCTCGGCGCTAAAGTCCGCTGCATCATCTGGAAAGCGTTCAGATCGTCTTGGAGTCCATTTTTTCTTTCGTGGAGTTGATTTTTTCCTTCGAGGACTTGGCTCTTCTTCATCCGTAGATGCTTCATCATTTTCATTCCTCGTTCGTTGTTGCTGATCATACTCGTGTGCCTTCCTTGCGGCCTCTGCGCGAGAAAAGGGAGGCCTCCCCGGTGGATCCGGCTGGTGAGCCTTTCCTCTGTATCTTTTGAGCTCCAGGTCCACTTGCTCCTTTCCGAATTCGGTGCCTAAAAGACTGCGGGTAAACCATGACACGCGGCCATTACCTAAACTGAGTCGGGCTGCTGTTATCGGCTCATTCACATATGGTGAACCTCCAGTCTTGTACCCAGTATTTCTATGCACAGATGCCACACCACCCACGCTGACATCATTCTGCCAACTGACGCCTCTCAGGTCACGTTTGGTTCCCATGACCAATTCTGGATAATCCCGTACTGACCACGTCCCTTTTCCGGCTTTTGAAGACGCTATGAACATGAATCTCAAATATTGGCCGCCATTTGGTCTCACTATTACCGTTGGATGCTGAAGAAGAAGTCTGTAGCCTTGGGCAAACACTCCACCGGCTTTCTGCCAAGCCTTGATCTTCCATTTCTCTCCTTCAAAAACCACTCGGCCCGGATTTTTCGCAGCCGCCGGCCTATGGAAGCCAGCATCTTCATCTTCTGAGCCAGCGCTCGACCCAGATGACTCTGAAGACACATCGTGATACTCGTTAGAGTCACTATCTTGGTATTGTTGTTCGTCGTCAGAGCTTAATTGGTCTCCGTCGTCAGAGTCTGATTCGTTTTCGTCGTTAGAGTCTGATTCGTTTTCGTCGTTAGAGTCTGATTCGTTTTCGTCGTCATAGTCTGATTCGTTTTCGTCGTCAGTGTCTATATCCATCTCGCTATGACCGTCGCTAGAGTCATCGCTTGAGGGCGCAGAGCCATCGCCGTCGGCACCAGTTCCTTCGGCAGAGTTTGGAGTTCGCGCGGTGCCAGATCCTTCGGCAGGGTTTGGAGGTTGCGCGGTGCCTTGGTTGCCTGTACGATCGCTACGGGCCTTAGGTCGATAGTTACCCTTCTCGATATCGGCCTTGGCCTGTATGATGCGCCTAGCGATATCCGACATCTTGTCTCTGCGTTCCGCAGTCTCATAGTAAGTTTTGTCACCGTGATACTTGAGTAGTAACCTATTGGCTACCGACTTGACTTTACTGAGACTTGTTGTGTGAGGGACGCCGATGACGACATAGGGATCAGCGTCGTAGAAATGCGCTTCATCAGCTTCCTCTTTTCTCTCTTTCTCTTTCCTCTCTTCCTCTTTTCTCTCTTTCTCTTTCCTCTCTTTCCTTTCTTCCTCTTTCCTCTCTTTCTCTTTTCCCTTGCTTTTCCCTTGACTTTCTTTCTCTTTTCCTTTTCCTTTCCCTTGACTCTCTTTCTCTTTCCCCTTTCCTTTCTCTTGACTCTCTTTTTCTTTCCCCTTTCCTTTCTCTTGACTCTCTTTTTCTTTCCCCTTTCCTTTCTCTTGACTCTGCTGGATAGGCGGATCTGGGATGCTTGAATCATGCATCATGTCTGGTGCATTCTGACGCTCACGCGCAAACGCCTGAACAAAACCGGTGTAGCGGTCCGGGTGGAGAATCGATTCTTCCAGATTGTACGGTTTCAAATAGGAAAAGAACTTGCTCTGGTCACCTATACCATTCCATTGAGCTTCTTTCAGCTTAACCATCAACTTCTTAATGCTTTTAATGTCTTTTTTAACTGTTGTGTCGTTGAAGAGACTGAGATCGCGGCTTAAGGTGATTGATATACGCTGAAGGTAATCGAAAGCCTTGAGTGGTAAGCTCCCCAGGCGTCCAGCGCGGCCGTGGGCAAGATTCCATCTTTCCAATCTCCCATTCACGTATTCAATCTGCGATTCTACGTCTTTTATGGAATCCTTGCCATAGAGAAAATGTTTCATCTCAGGGTTGTAGTACTTCTGGTAAAAGTTCTCATGGTATTCGGCAAACTCCAGCCCTAAATTATCATCAGGTGGCTTGGCATTCTCATGTTCACGATGTCTTTTACCGGAGTTGGGGGGTTCGTCTGGTTGGGCTCCTTCGCCTGTGCTTGTAGATGCTCCAGCGGGGTTGGATTGTGCGCCAGATCCTTCGGCAGGGCTTTGAGGTGGTGCACTGCCAGCTTCTCCGCCTGTG